GAGGGTCTGGGTCGAGCCAGTGGACGCCATTAACAAATTAATATAGGAGCCCTAATGATTACCTTTAGCATTGTGGGGTTCCTTACTACAATTATAGTATAATATACCCCAAAACCCCATTCTAATTATTTAGGCCCCTATGGCCTATACTATGCTTCAGCGCAAAGCCCTCAAACTGCAATTTTCCGCGAGTCGAGAAGTCCTATATACACGCGCCCGCAGTCACCCTATAAAACCCACGGCCGTCGACGCTTCTGGCCTTAGAGCTGAGACTACTTGGAGGATCTTGGGACTTAGTAAGTAGGGTTATAAGTACCTTAATTGGGGTTCTAAGTATAGTTACCTTGTCTGTAACCTCAGTTACTAAGTCCCATGATCCTTTAAGTAAGAGGCCGAAAGCTTCGGAGCGCCAGGGTTTCAGGGTTTTGGGCCGAGCTTCAAAGAAGCAGGGCTTTAGGGCTTACAGTATATACACAGCAGGGTTTAGGGAGGAACCAGAAGCCCCCTTAAGCATGTGTGCACCCTTGCTCCGACGAGTTTGGCAACATCCTCACCGCCGTCTGCAACTTGCTCAACTGCTTGGTCTTCTCACGCTGGAACTTGAAGTCCCTTTGCTCGGAGGATTGAGGGCTTAGAGGTTTTAGAGTTTATAGGGTTTGGGGTTTAAGGTTTGGGTGCTACAGTAGCTTCATAGCATTTTGCTTGCGTGAGATCTCGTTCTACTGCCCTGTTATACGCTACACGAAGAAGTTCCAGATGTACGGCTTCGCAAGGCTTTCGAGCGTAGTCATGAGTGGTAGGTTCGAGGCTTTGCCGCGCCCTTCCGGCCAGAACTTCAGAGCCCGGATGCAAAAAAAGGGGAGCTAGAACCGGAATTTGAGAAGACACAGACAAGAGCGAGGTTGCTTTGCGCATTTTTGATGTAGTATATGGGCTTGCACCACACAAAGGACTGAACTAGGGTAACTAGGGACCCTCAGTACGTGTGCAGTACTCTGTCGTTGCACAGGTACGGTGCAAGGGCCTGCATCTGATGTTGGAGTTTACCAACATCTGCTGTTGGGCCTGTAGGTTTTGTCTTAGAAAGGCTCCCCTGCTTATCCCGCAAAATTTGAGCCGCTACAACTACCCTAGCACTATGATGGTCCCTGATTTGTTTCCAACATGTTCCTAGTAGATACCACGCCAAAGCTTCCAGAGTTCAGCAGGAAACCCAAAGGCCGAAGCCCTGCACAGGAGAGTGCAAAACCCTAAACCCCACATGCCCAAAGGACAGTGTGGCCGAGTGGTCTAAACTATGGGCATAAATGATCATGTTGCCTCGTGCCCTAGCAGCACTGGCAGCACTCAAAGCAGAAGCCGACAGCGCAAATGTAGAGCCTGAATAACGAGTAATAAGGTTCCCTTGGCTTCCTTATTAGATCAACACACTACGACACCCCTCAAAGGTTTCCTGATTTCTGAGCGGTCCCTCTTCCAAGCCCCCAAGCCCAATAGGTTGGGTATCAACGACCATGTCTTTGTGCTTGGGTCGGATGCGATTCAGAACGTGGTTCAAGAGATCGATGCTCGGTGGGTATAGAGCTTATTGCAGGTCCTAGTCTGGCTAGACTTGAGTCCAGTGGCAAAATTAGGCTCAGGGTTTGTTTTGTACTTGGTTTTTTGGTTGCATGGTTTCAGGTTTTGGCTTTTAGAGGTGAGGCCTTTTTCAGAAAGCTGTGCAGAAGATCGACATCTGTTGAGCGGCATTCAGTGCAGTTATATTGCTTGTGTGGCCATTAGGCCTTTACCCTCGCGTTGCTTTTCGGATGTTCGCCACCCAAAGTACGGTACCCGGGTGTGTATTTGGACCCTGCGGAGAACTAAGTCGTAGAGGAGTTCTTGGCATTCAATTGAATCTTCTGTCGCTTTAGGCTTGGAGGCGTAAGCGGATACCTAGGTCTCCCCAAAACCTCGCATGGATAGATGCTTGATCCCCAGACTACTTTCTGTCCTGAACCATTGGGGTAGATTATTGAGTCACAGGATGTTGGGCCGGTGGAAGACGGACTGTCCCCGCTTGTAGGTTTTATCGTGAAGGCTCTTTGTCATTTGTTTTCAGCGTTCCACTTCCCGCAGTCAAATTCAGTTTCACATCAGCCGATCCTAAGACCTCAAGCCTCGCCTGGATTGTCCCAGTGTGAGCGCCGAAATGAACCTTTAGCCGTGGGGTTTCGGGTTTAGGGTTTAGGGCTTATATGGGAGTTTCCGAAAATATGGGGTACCTTTTTTAGGGGTCCTTAGAATAAGGATCCTACTATTTACGGTACTATTTTAGGGTCCCCTATTTTCGGAAACCCCCATATATCTAGGTACAGGTCACCCACCTTCGCAAGACTGAGACGTCAATGCGCAGTGTCCTTTCGGACATACGGAGAGAAGCATCACTGACTGTCACTCACGCACAGAAACCCTAAACCCTAAACCCTAAATAGGGTTTAGGGTTTAGGGTTTAGGGTTTAGGGGTTTAGGGTTTAGGGTTTAGGGTACCAAGACACAATCTCTAGCGTAGGCGGACATGCGCACAGGCGATCATGCCTTTCTGCTTCCAGCATAGGTACATACTACTGTAATTAGCCGTTGCCCTTTGCTTCTCAAGCCTAACCGAGCATGGCATAAGCACCCCTAAACCCTACAAGCAACTTACAGAACCCGAACCACTACTTCAGGCGTGGCTGCCGACCATGCTCCTCATCTCGCAGCTGTGCCCCAAGGGCTGTGAAGCTGCTCGGATCCACATTTTCCGGCTCGTTCCTTTGCAGGTTCAATGACGGACAAGTCCCACAAGCTCTAAAGCAGTCCGAGACAGAGAGAGAGAGAATGCCAACAGTTCGACTTGTTTGGCTTGAGATGCAGCCCCGGCAGGCCACCATGTTTGCATTGCTGGCGGGCATGTCGAATCTGGGTGGCTCGGCCTTCCCCAACACATCTTGAAGGTATTTACTTGAACTTATGGATGCCATCGAGTGCCTAAGCTCTGAAGCGCTTAAGTGGAAAGGCTTGTCATCTTGGTTGGTTTTGGCAGGGTTTCAGGTCGCCGGCATCTTTGCTTCCTTCTGGCGTTCCTGAAGGGTCCAAATAAACGAATAATTCGGTAGTTGAGTGTAAAGGTTTGGAATCACTTGGTAGGAGGGCTTAGACAGGTCCTGAGCAATATGGCCTGGCGTTATGTCTTTCTGCGTCGAACAGACTGAGCCGCTTTTGCTTCGTCTTGAAACCACTGGAAATTCGGGCATTCGAGAGGATAGGGCGGTGTTCCTGAACTATGTCGGCTATTACTTTGAAGATGAAACCTGCCATCCTAACCCCTTCGTCATCCTAATCCCTAAAGCCCTGAGCATTGTAAGTTGGAAGTTGTTATTCATCTGGATGTAGTGAATGCATTGCTCTTCTTAAGCCCTAAACCCTAAACCCTTGAGAGCTAGCACATTCACCTGACCGTCCAGATTGCATCGCTCGAGCCATGAGTCTTCTAGCCCAGCATCAGGCGCAGGACATACATATCTTAGGGTTGTTGGTGTAGGGTTTAGTGTTATAATATGTAATATATTCTTTTGTACCAGTAATGTATAGCCTCTAAACACTGTGCGAAGCCCGGAGCCAAAGACCTGAGTCCCAAAGCTAGTCGTGAGCTCCAGCCGTGACATGCACAGGTGCATCGCTGGGCTCCTACTTCGGCGCTTACATTTTGGTGCTGCTAGGCGGGCGGTGGTGGCGGGAGTAGTATTTTGGTAGTAGCCGCAGCAGCTGCAAGAGCGACAACGACTATACTACTACTACTACTACTACTACTACTACTACGACGACGCCCAAAGCGCGAGAGGTGAGAAGTGTTCTAGGTTTTTGTTTGAGGCGGTGTAGCGTGCATCCACGTAACGCTTTTGACTTTTGTGTATTTGGGGGTTGGGTGCTTTAGGGTCTTTCTAGTCTTAGGGTTGACATCTACATCTACGGCGGTATGGGGGCTTGTTTCCGGGCAATTTTGAGGCATAGGGTTTCAGCGTTCAGGGGGCTCGGGCTTTTGGGATTTATGGTCGTTATGGCTGTTTAGGGCCTAGTAGGGTAGCAGTACGCGAGAGCTGAGTTCGCGCTACAAGGATTCAAAGTCCCAAATCCACACCCGGAGCAAGAACCTGGTAAGTACCCAGACCTTCCAATATCTGGAAGTTTGGAATATACCTGAAATCATAGTAGGGAACCCATTATGATCTAAGGTATATTCCCTAATTAAGAGATATTGGAAGGTCTAGGTATTTCGAGCAGCATCCCAGGAAGTGAAAACGTTCCCAATTGCTAAGCGAGTTGAGTGACCTGTCGTCTTGCCGCAAGATTTGGGGCCAATGAAATGCTTTGCACGGTTCAGAGTTTGGCGCGATTCTGTTGCTGCCTGTCACCGTCCCTGGCCGACTTCACAAGCCCGGATGCAAAAACACGAGTAAACTAGATTGCTGGCCAGGCACTGGGTTCACGAATCTGACGCCCTGAACTATACAGTACCGCGAACCACTGCTGGAGACAACATCCTTCTGGGGGTCTAGAACGTCAGACTGTCTAACATGAAAACATCTTTACGTCCCTTAATCGCTTAGCAAGTACGAGCCCCAAAACCTGCGAAAAATAACATCCAAAATCCCCAAACCCCATGGTTTGTTCACGCCCGGTGCCCTAAAGCTCCAAACTTAAACTTACTTTTCGCTGCCAGGCGTTCAGCCCACGGGCGAAGCGAACGAGTCGGCTGAGTTCGACAACCTTTGGATTGCATCCGTTGCAAGATGTCTGCACAGAGGATTTTGTTTAAGACTCACCCGAGGGCCCCAGTTGCCCAAAGACACAGTATACAACGAGCAACCTGCAATTTTAGGAACTGGAGCCTATCCTTGTACTGTTAAACATTTAAAGTAAGAAGACTTAGTGTTTCTGACATACTACTGCCCCGATTACATGGAACCAGTCACACAGGATCAAAGAAGATTTCGACTTCGACGCCCCCTGCATTCTTTGCACTCTGATACAGCAGCCACGTAGCACTGCGAGAGAACATCCCCCCTAATAGTTGGTTCAGGGTTTGGGGTTACATGTAGATATCTCGTTTGGGTACGCAGTTATGCTGTTTGCCCTTTTTCGGCGGAAGATGTGATTCTTATTCTGTCGACTCAGTGGCTTCTGTCTACCGGGTCCAAGTTCCTGAACATTAGGGCTTTCAGGTGCGATCAGAACAAAGTAGTCGGTGCCTAAACAAGCTGAGAGCCTATAAGATCCTGAAGAGAAAGCAGCGAGGTCTCTTCGGTTGGCCCCTGCATCCCCTTGGCTTTGCATCTCGTCTGGAACATGGGTTTTTTCGTACAATCACTGCAATGTCACCCTAAACCCTAAACCCTAAACCCATCCCTAATCGCATTGCTGCGGAGACTTTGGCATGCTCGGAGGACTTTACTTTAAGATCCTTCGTTCCGACAAACGGCGCTAGTTAAGGCTTTTGGCTTATTTCGGGTTCCTACTATCCAGGGGTTACATTAGGATCCCTGTTTATTGTTTTAACTAGCGGGGCTGAAAAGGCCGAGAACAGGATTCTTTAAGGTTCTCCTGAGGATTTTTGGCTTTGCGATTTACGGTAACCCGACACAGATCCATGTTGCCGCCCGTCTTTGTATCGGGAGCCTGCAGCAATGCTGTTTTCCGCAGTTTCCCCGCATAGTCGCGCAGGGCTTATTCAGAATGCGGCATGAGATTGGCGGAGGAACCTCGTAGACTGTCACGAGCTCACTACTGGAGTTGTTGGTGCTGAGCGTCATTCGGCTTTAAAACTTGTTCATGACACGCAAACCTTCCACTCGACTTCCGCACTATTGCGGAGTCCTTCCAGTAATGGGATCTTCCTGGGCGATCACTCGCTCCACCAATCCTAGCATGAAGTCTATCAGAACATAAGGAAGAAGTGGGGGAACTGTAGTGTCTACAATACGTTTGCAAACCTGTCGAGCCTGTTGTTGAAGGAGAGAGGGGCACCTAAACCCTAAACCCTAAGCGGAGAGGGGCAGTCCTGCCCCGCAAGTCCCTTTGCAATCCCCCTGCCGCGGTTGGAAGCTTAGGGTTTAGGTTTTACTTTAGGGGCCTGAATAATTACCTATAATATTTTGGGGGCTGTTTATTATATTTATAGCATAATCGGCCCCAAAACCCTATTCTAATTATTAAGGCCCCTACATTAGGGGCAGCAAAAGGGCCAGGGTCTGGTACTTCGAAGCTTTCTGGGTCATCAGCCCGACACCCCGACACCTCTGTCAGGGTCTATCAGCTCATTCCGAACGTCGGGCAGCAAGATACGGTGCCAGGGTGCCACGGCCTGTGAAGATCACGATCATGACTTTCAGGCGGTTGTTGTGGAATGTGGGGTTTTAGGATGTCAGGGAACGAAACCCAGTGGATTGGTCTGGGCTGTTTTGGGGATGGAGGATCGCCGTGGCGGCTTTAGAACCGTCCATGATGGGACCTGTAAGACACGCGTACACGCAGTGAACGGAACAACTGCAAGCTTTTTCAGCCGTCGTTGGGGGCTTGACGGCTGTTCAGTCAAGTTGGCTGTTTGCAGGTCTAGGGTCTAACATACGAACCCTGAATCCTCAACTTTAAAGCCCCTCCGAAGCCGTGATCTTCATCCAACAGAGCTGTCAAGCAGCACTTAAGGCTCCGGAGCTCTACGCAGGGCTCCCCTTTGAACAATCTGCTCGTGCAATGGGGCTGGATGGAGGCCCGGGAAGCAGTTTGCCAGCCCTTTTGATACGAGAATGTAACGTGTCTAGGGGTTTGTGGCTTCAGCTATGATGGCTTTCAGCTCATCACCCGGTTCGAGTAACACTCCGAGGAGTAGTTTTGTTTTTCGGCTTCCTGGACAGTTGCAGCAAAGGCAAGAGGTGCTGCAGTTGAAGTTTTTTTGGCAACTAGCACTGTTCGTCAGGCAGCTTTCTGCACGAGCGCGCATGAGTTTCCTAGTAAGATTCTTAAAAGACCCACCATCTCTGTGGTTCATGCTGTGAACACGCACCGCTGCACTTGTGAAGGCAGGAGTGGAGGGCAAGCAGACGAACCCAGCAAGCGCATGACAGGCTAGCTGGGTTGTATTCCACATTTGACAAGAACTCCGCGCCACGAAGCAAGACTAGACAGCCGAGGCGATTAAGCCCCGTAAGCCCAGGAACCGAACATCCGAAGACCCTAAATCATCTAAACTCTAGACCCTAAATCATAAACCCATTCTGACGTTTCAGGATGAGTCAAGCTCCGAAGAAGTCGAGCTGAAGAACGTGCTTGGACAGGCCCGGCTAGGGTTCAAAGTTTGGGATTTATAGGGTTTAGGGTTCAAAATGTAGAGCTCTGACAGTTCAGGGCTAACGGGCTGCAAGTTGTTGTTTTCACTGGGAAGTGAGCATGTCGAGACTGCAGAGACCTGACACCTTCGGTGGCCGGGTCAGAGAGTGCAGCGCGAGGCCAGGGCTACAAACTTCGAGGCAAGTTCAGTGTCTGGGTCCTGGAAGATAAGTGTAAACCCTTGCAGTAAACCACAAGAAGCAGATTAATACAGGGCCGTGATAATTAGGGTTTGGAGCAGATTTTATTATATGTATAATAAGGAACCCCAAAACCCCATTCAAATCATTAAGGCCCCTACATTAGATAG